AATGTTCGGTGAAGGAACATGAACGTTATTGTCCCACCCCACCCCACCCCATCCCACCGGTAACTGATCATGAAAGAGCAGTGCCTGTGTCTGCAGGACAGCAAGAAAGATGATGAGGTTGCTGTGCCTGTGCGTGCGCAGGAACATGAACGTTATTACCCCACCCCACCCCACCCCACGCCACTGGAACATGAATGAGAGATGATCAGGGTGCACAAGTGAGTGACATTTTGCTCCTGGGTGCGCAAGTGAGTGAGGGTGCGCATTTTGAAGAGGCTTGGCTTTCTAACGGCTATAATTTTCATAGGAGGCCTTTTTTTTGGTCCTGACCTCGCTTTGGAACGCGCCAGGCCTCCAAAGTAGGGCGCCTGTCAGTAAATCTCATGTCTCTGTGGTTGGAATTGTTTTGATGATGTGTATCATTTTGTGTTCCAAAGTGAGGCTAAAATGGCTGTGTTCAAAGTGACGCTTCAGACTGTGTTCCAAAGTGATCCTGCTACCGATAGATAGATAGATTAGATTAGTTTAGATAAGGTTGGGTTAGGTTAGGTTAGATTAGATTAGATTAGATTAGAAAGATAGATAGAAAGATGCAAAGATAGAAATATTGAAAGATAGAAAGGTAGATAGATTAGATAGATAGATAGATGGATGGATGGATGGATGGATGGATGGATAAATAGATAGATAGATAGATAGCTAGCTAGCTAGATAGATAGATAGATAGATACATAGATACATAGATAGATAGATTAGATTAGATTAGATTAGATTAGACTCTATTAATAGATAGGTAGATAGATAGATAGATTGATAGATAGAACGATAGATAGAAAAATAGATAGATAGATAGATCGATAGATAGATAGATTAGATAGATTAGATAGATAGATAGATAGATAGATAGATAGCTAGCTAGCTAGATAGATAGATAGATAGATAGATAGATTAGATAGATGAGAAAGATTAGATAGATAAGATAGATTAGATAGATAGATAGATTAGATTAGATTAGATTAGATTAGATTAGATTAGATAGACAGATAGATAGATAGATAGATAGATAGAGAGAGAGATAGATAGATAGATAGACAGATAGATAGATAGATAGAAAGATAGATAGATAGATAGATAGATTGAAAGATAGATAGATAGATAGGTAGATAGATAGATAGATAGATAGATTAGCTTTGATTAGATTAGATAGATTAGTTGAGATTTGATTAGATTAGATTAATAGATAGGTAGATAGATACATAGATAGATAGATAGATAGATAGATAGATAAAACGATATATAGATAGTTAGATAGATAGATAAATGGATAGATTAGATAGATTAGATAGATTAGATAGATTAGATAGATCAGATAGAATAGATAGATAGATAGATTGGATTAGATTAGATTAGGTTAGATTAGATTAGATTAGATTAATAGATAGATAGATAGATAGATAGGTAGATAGATCGATAGATGGATAGATAGATAGATAGATAGGTAGATAGATTAGGTAGATTAGGTAGATTAGGTAGATTAGGTAGATTAGGTAGATTAGGTAGATTAGGTAGATTAGATAGATTAGATAGATAGATAGATTAGATAGATGTATGGATGGATGGATAGATAGATAGATTGATAGATAGATAGATAGATAGATAGATAGATTAGATAGATTAGATCAGATAGATAGATAGATAGATCGATAGATCAATAGATCGATAGATCGATAGATCGATAGATAGATAGCTAGCTAGATAGATAGAGAGATTAAATCGGTTAGAGTGATTAGATAGATTAGATAGATGAGATAGATTAGATAGATAAGATAGATTAGATAGATAGATAGATTAGATTAGATTAGATTAGATAGATTAGATAGATAGATAGATAGATGGATGGATGGGTGGATAGATAGATAGATAGATAGATAGATACATAGATAGATAGATAGATAGATAGATAAATAGATAGATAGATAGATAGGTAGATAGATAGATAGATAGATAGATAGATAGATTAGATAGATAGATAGATTAGATTTGATTAGATTAGATAGATTAGTTGAGATTTGATTAGATTAGATTAATAGATAGGTAGATAGATACATAGATAGATAGATTAGATAGATTAGATAGATTAGATAGATTAGATAGATTAGATAGATTAGATAGATTAGATAGATTAGATAGATTAGATAGATTAGATAGATTGATAGATTAGATAGATTAGATAGATTAGATAGATTAGATAGATTAGATAGATTAGATAGATTAGATAGATTAGATAGATTAGATAGATTAGATAGATTAGATAGATTAGAGAGATTAGAGAGATTAGATAGATTAGATAGATTAGATAGATAGATAGATTAGATTAGTTTAGATTTGGTTGGGTTCGATTAGGTTAGATTAGATTAGATTTGAAAGATAGATGGAAAGATAGAAAGATTGAATTTTGGAAAGATAGATAGATAGATAGATAGATAGATAGGTAGATAGATAGATAGATAAATAGATAAATAGATAGATAGATAGATAGATAGGTAGATAGATAGCTGAAGTGATGAGTGACATATACCATCATGGGAATATCACCAACCATTTTTTCGGATATAACTGGAATTAATTTCGGATAGTACCCTCTCGTAATTTACCACTTTGCTTTGGAAATGGCCGATTGAATTACCTGGCATATACCCGAAGTAGATTCAGTCAGAAATAGTGTCCTTTATCCGCTGATGGATGAGTTATCCACTCACTCACGCACTCACGCACTCACTCACCCACTCACCCACTCACCCACTCACCCACTCACCCACTCACCCACTCACCCACTCACCCACTCACCCACTCACCCACTCACCCACTCACCCACTCACCCACTCACCCACTCACCCACTCACCCACTCACCCACTCACCCACTCACCCCCTCACCCACTCACCCACTCACCCACTCACCCACTCACCCACTCACCCACTCACCCACTCACCCACTCACCCACTCACCCACTCACCCACTCCCTCGCTCCCTCGCTCCCTCGCTCCCTCGCTCCCTCGCTCGCTCGCTCGCTCGCTCTCTCTCTCTCTCACACACACCAAAAAACATCATCGATCCCTTGATTTTCGTCGAAATGAACGAAAGCGTTGGCAACTGAAAAGGTTCCCAATATCATCAGCAATTTGATGGGGATATTCCAGTGGGAGGGGATTGTCTCCAGTATGTTGACCCGTGACCAGTGCATGGGAAACAGCTGAGTTTTATTGGTCCTCAAATTTTGATGCTCGAACTGACCAGATCAGAAAAGAGGTCCATAATGGTCAATATCACAATAGAAACTCGTGTAATGGAGCCAGTTGTTGCCTGCCACAGTACTAAGAAGGGATGTCAAAATTCGTTTGATGATACACAATATTCCCGCAAACCATGTTTTGCATACCCTTCGGCAAACAATTATGGTACAGGAATGCAAAATGCAAAAATTTACGGGGCCGTCTATACATGGGTGAAAATGCAGGATCCTCAATTGCCAGGTTAGATGACTGGGTAATCCCCATCTTTTGTGGGGAAAATTCACCATTTTCTACGATTATCAGTTATCCCCTCATGTCTCGGGTTTGTCTGAAACTATGCTACCCCGCTTCATCCCATGGTTTATCATCATTTTCCCCTTTCGAACCAAAAGTTCCGGGTACACCCAATTTTCAGGCACACCCATCTTGTCTTACTGCTTATATCATGTCCCCAAAATCAATCTCCATCGAATTGGTGAAATCAATTGCCCATTTATTGTTGCTGAATTATGCTAAATTCACCATTTTAAGACCCAGATCATCTTAAGTTGATTGTATGATATTCCCCATATACCCCATGACCCCCATAAACATGACCATTTTTGGTGGTTCAACCCATCCTTTCTTCTGGCATCCCACCTAATATCATTCATATTCCCCATATGGAGGATTCCATAAATGGGGGTTTCAATGGGGGTACCCGCATGACTTAGGAAACCTCCATATAGATATATGGGGGAAACCATCTATATATGGGATTTAATCTGATTTAATATATTGATGGTTTCCCCCATATATCTATATATGATGATATAGCTGGATATATTGATATTTATATGGATTATATTGATATCATCTGATTTAATGGGATATTTTCATGATTTCAATCCAGCTGCGTAGGAGGACAAGACCTCCGTCAACGAAATGTCGCGGAATGAATACCAGGTGAGGGGATGAAGGGAGGGAACCAGGGAGCTGAACCTATGCTTGGTATATGTACATATATATATAAAACATATTCCCTATTCATGGGAGAGTAAAGAAGAAGCTACTAGACCTTCGACTTTTCCAACCACATGATAGTTGACTAAAATGGGGATTGAACCAGGAAAATTTGGGGATGTAAGCAAGACACATGGATATTGAAACACTGTATGAGGACGTCAGTTTGCTGTAAATGGGGAATGATCCCCGATCTTTGGAGATCTCCAGGGGGAAAATGAGGTTTTAGACCAGTGGCAGGCAGCATTTTTGTTGGACCCAGTTTGGACGGAGCTTTGATAGATTTTGTTTGGGTCATTTTTATATGTTTTTTCTTGTGCAACTCATTCTTGGTTGAGTTACTTCTAAAGGCACCGTATCCATTCTTGCAGGGCACGCCATTTCTCCTCTCTCCTCGCTTCAGATCATGTTGGGGTATCCGAAAATGGATGGTCAATAGCAATGAGTGAATCAGTGGTTTCCTCGGTCTTAATTTTGAAATGCCATTATATGCAGTATGCATATACACTTCTATTCATATGTATATACATAATATGTATTATGCGTGTATATTATGTATATATATATACACGTATCCATGCATACATATTCATCATCTTTTGACGATGTATATTTGATATATTACGAAACAGCGGGGATTTCCAAAGTTCCGGGCTCCGCCGCCGAGATCATGAAGCGAGACATCAGAGAGGCGATAAGGAACGCCATGGGAGGCTGGCAACTCATCTTGGAACTGCCCTGCTTCAAGATCGAGGAGGCGTGGATGGAGATTGGGATGATTATTTCATTGGGGTTTGTTGGGGAAAATCTTAACCGGAAACCATGGATTTTCCCATGATCATGGGGTTTTCCTGTAAATTTTCCCTTAAACCAACCCATTGATCATTGGAATGTGGCTGAGGCTGATGTTTTCTCCGTATTTTTCTTGATTTCACCGATACGATTTCCACCATTAAAGGAGAAGTTTTGTTACTTTTTTTGTATATCCAAGACGATGACCACCAGTTGTACCCATCCAAATATCACAATATCACTAGAGCTTGAACTACCTGAACTAGGATAAGATGAATTAAGTAGAGTTAGAAGCTAGTTGCGTTTCTTAAGTCATTTTTTTTTCCTTTGTGAGGACCTTTGTGAAGACCATTCTTCTGGCGTTTGTTTTCCGGATTTCTGGATCCGGGCAGGATACGGTGCGAAACCTTCTGTTCGAACTCTCCCAGTCCTATTTCTTTAAGGACCAGGATCCGCTGTGGCCTGGCGAGTCAAAAGCCTTGTACCCTACCCCGAAACAGCTGGTTCATAGATGTTGATTCCACCAAATATGGTAGGTTCATAGGTTTTGACCCATCAAGTATTGATTTTTATTGAGGGAAACATCGATCTCTGGCCTCGGAGGTGTACAGCTGGGCGCTGACCAAGTCTTGGATTTATCGGAAAAAACCATCATTCCAATGGTTTATTTACCAAATTTTCATCAATTTTCACCATTTGGGAACTATACCCCCCTGGTTTTCACCATTTGGGAAATATCTCCCCCTGGTTGTCTGCACCGCAGCGCCAAGTCTGGTCCTGGACTGCATCTTGGACTTGGAGAAGGAAGCGGAACAGATGAGGATCGGATCTGCTTTGCAGGTTCGAAGCGGGGGCTGGGGATTGAACCAGAAAACACCGTGGGATTTGACAAAATGTGGCTAGGGGGGGTTCACTAGCAAAGAATACATGCTCTTCTGATTTAAAACAAAAAACACTGCGGTTGAATCAACCAACGTGATTTTTTTTTTTCAATATGGGTGAATGATTTTACTGAGTTTACTGATTTGGATACTTACCAACGATCGTTCAGCTTTGCCATTCTACCTGCGATCATTTTTGGCGTATGCTCCCACCCTCCATGCCAGATCACGCCAGTGGATAGTCAAGATTGTAATGATATTGGGCTACCAAACATATTTTCTGATACATGGCCGGCTAGAAAATCGAAGCTTCTTTGGAAAAATGATCTATGAGTGATTTTTATGGGTGATTTTCCAGCTGCAGGTGAAACTGAAAGGTGGCCCAACATAGGAGGATGATCCTGCTTGACTTTCGTAAGTTTTGGGATGTGTTCTTTAACCAAGTTTGCTGGGTCCGACCGGTGATTCGTTGGTTGTGAATAGGACAGGAACGGACAGTAATGGGGTATGAAGCAATCAGGAAGCCGACCACCTAGTTGGGTTACCAACCGGTGAATGACTTGCTTGGTGGATAAGCCAATTTTTAGCCATTTGGATCCATTTGTGCCATTTGTATGAAAACTTACCCCACTAAGAAATACTTTGTCCCCAAATGGAGAAATGGATCGCAGAAGAGTTTCGATCTAACCTTTAGATTGTGTTTTTTCGCGGAAATCTTTACCCATCAACAGAGAGGGGTAACGGGTAACTAGTTGGTTTTGACCTTCAAATGGGGTATCCTAAATCCAATGGTTTATCATCATTCTCCCTATTATTTAATGGCCCTTTGGCTGGGGGAATACTAACCATTTTCAGGTCCACACTCATATCATGACATAACGGATTTTGTGGGTCCAGAAGTCCATTGAACTAGGTTCCCGTTCCGTAGACGGCCGTGTGGAACTGGGGCTTGGCTTGTAACCAGCCAATCAAGGTTGCTCGATCAATGCACACATGTATTCTCATGTTCCTGACATCAGAATGAGTTTTATAATGTGAATTTTGTTCTGCGCTTTTCTCAATTCGCAATGTTTTCATTGAATGCATCATACAGGATCAATCATACATTTCTTCCACGTTTCACATTGTTTTGTCAGGATTTCTATATTTCCATCGTGTAGCGAACAGAAAAAAAGACTTTTTTTTTCAACGCATTTGCGCATTTGTCTACTTTTACGTCATTTTACGTAAAGGACAGTTATGTAAGAAAGCCAAGGGCGTAGCAACTTTAACATAGTAGGATGCACGTTATTAGCCCGCCCCACCCCCCAAACCCAAAGAAAAGCGGGAAAAAAGTCAAGAGAGTCATGTCAAGAATGTAGTAGGATGAAGGTTGTTAGCCCACCCCATGCCCAAACCCCCCCAACCCAAGAATAGCGGGAAGAAAGTCAAGAGCGTTATCTCAAGAACGTAGTAGGATGAACGTTTTTAGCCCAACCCACCCCCCAAACTCCAAGAATAGCAGAAACGTACAAGAATTAAATTACACGGCCATTTGTGGAACGGGTGCCAACTACTGAGCCATGGTTCCGACTTGCCACAGGAAGAAATTCGAAGGATCGCCAGCAAGAGCGTCCGTGATGCGCAAGAGGCTTCGGTCGCTGGGACCGCAGCAGTTATCCCACCAGTTCGGAGATTCCCAGAGAATGTGTGTGTTTGAAAAGGGTGAATCTTAACCGTCAACAACCACCAATAAGGGCAAATCTGAACCATCTATCATTTTCGAAAATTGGTGCATTTTGCCCCAAACACTTCACCAGTGTTCTCCTTTGAGAACGGTCCCATCCTTGGGACGGAGACGTTTTTCGGCGCAGAAAGCTTTGCAATCCTTTCCAGTCTCCCTGCTATATTCTCGTTTTCTCTCCCTTGCTTGGTCGCCTAGGAACGGACGAATTTGCTTTGCCTTCCACTTCTCTCCCTGCCCTGCTTTCTTCCTTTTTTCCCGTGAGTTTGATTTCCTGGGGATGTTTTCTTTTTTTCGCGTCTCCCCCTCCCCATTTGTTTGTTCGGGCATTCTGTTTGCATACCCTTTCGAGTTCTTTCCTGTGGGACGGAGCAATTTCCGGTGTCTCCCACTTGCCTTTAAGTTGTCTTCCTACAAACTTATATAATGCTCCTTCTGTCTCCGTTGGTGTGGCTGCCTTGGGACGGAGGCCTTCTCTTGTTCCATTGGTCCTCCTCCCTGTGACTCATGTGTCTTCCTTTTGAGGCCACGTTGGGACGGAGGATTCCGTTTGTCTCCCCTCTCCGATTTGTTTTCTGGCTTTATCCTCCTGGTGCAGGACGATTTTATTGTCTCTCACTTGTCTTCCACTTGAGGTATTGGATTAGATATGATATAATTGATTATATATATAATATAATGAGTTTACATCCTCATCCCATCCGCTCACATTAAACACCCCCATTGGTCCCAGTCATATGTGGATTTCAGGGGTCTCCAACTGATGGACAAACCCATATGATCCCATATGTATGCATACATCATATATATAATATACATAAAGACATGTAAATCTTGTCTAATGGTAAATATCTTTGTCTTCTTCTTCTTGTTATTATTATTATTCATTATTATTATTATTAAGCGGTTATTATTATTTTTACTATCATTATACATAAAACCATCACTCCCAAGTTGCCAAGATGGGACCTGCGCCAAGGAGTCAGACATCGACTCCAACCTGCTACAGCTTCTCTTTGACACCCCAACAAGGTGCACTGTTTTTTTTTTTTAAATCTCTGCAAGGACCAACAATCTGGGGTTCCTGAACCTAGACTGTTTAGCTGCTAATTTTGGGTCTAGAAAGCGGATTTCAAGGCACAGACGGCCATACCACCCAGTTTCTCGCTTTTTTGTCTTGGCAGTAAAACTCATTGAGTGTCTCAGAGAAAGAAGAAAAACACTCCTGCCATTTCACCATCATTTTGGTTTGGGAGAATTGTCGTGGTTGGGCCCCTTTTGCCTGTGTTGAACATACCAATCTCGAGGGACATTGCTGTCTCGAGGCTGCGCTATTACGTCATCGAAAACTTCATCAACCTGCGTTCTGCTGCCCAAGGTGCGAGATTGGGAAAAGACATGAGTGTCTGAACATGACAAAAACCACAAGATTCATCAAAGCTGGTTGCGCAAAATCTCCTGTAAGCTTCTGGCATCAGCAGGTTTTGCGAGGTTGTTGCTCTTTTGACCTCCAAAAACACATGGTGGAAGGGTGGATGCAAGCAGGAGGAGTATTGCAGCACCTGGAAAGTTATGACAACGGCCCCACATTATGCGACAACCACATCACAAAGAATACATGGATTGGGCCTGTGTTGCTGAGACACCAGCAAAAGAATGTTCATCCAAACTCCCTACCCTTAATTGGCTTCTTCATATTATGGGAATTTCATAACATATCATAACATGTTACTCCAAGTTCACATCTAAGTCGGTCCAAGACGACTGTTTCGGCTGAGGCTTGAGGCAACTGCTGGTGAACTTCAGCATCTGGAAATTGCTGCTGAGTAAAAAGTGGCTCCAAGCACCAGGCCGACCGAGGGCCTAAAACTCCTCGAGGGGTTCTCAGTTGGTGAAGAGTCAACAAACATGGTGGTCAGTGGTCCTGATGAGCATGGTTACATTGATTACATGATCACCACAAGGCTACTTTTCAGGGGGGACCATTTTATTATATGATATGATAGATATTAATATTAGTACTATTGTAAAAGGGCTGCCGCCCTCGCCCCCATGAGGTGTGCCAATTCATTCAAACTAGGGACGGGAAGTTGTCAAAACAGATTGGTGCTGTGGGAAAGGTGGGTACAGTGGTCCTTGTCTTCATGTTTGAGCTGAGCAGTAGCCGTCGAGCGAACAAACATTTCGGGGAGTCGAGTCGAATTGCTTAAAACAAAGCACTGCCATGGCCGAAGGTGTTGGCGCCGTATAACTGTATAACTTTTGCCCAATGCTCTGAGTGTCAAAGTGAAATTCAGTCAAGGCTAGAATAATACTGAATGTAAAGAGACAGCACCCAAGTTATGGGCAGAGACCACAAGCACCCAAGGGCGTAATGAAAACATGGCATTGAAGGACGAAAGCTGTGCTGGGCCTCTTCAGGACTAGTACTGTTATTACTACTATTACTGTTACTGTTGCTCCTACTGATCTTACTATTCCTGTTACTGTTACTCTTGTGCAAAAAAGCAGGGCTTCGTGCGACAAAAAATCCTCACCAGCGTCACCTGGCTGAAGCAGTGATGTGGTGAGGTGATGATGGTGGCGATTGATTTTCTTAGTCATATTTTCTGTATAGCGGAGCTTAGACATCTAAACGTCCTTTGATTATTATATATATATATATCATTGTTATTATTATTGATATTATTATTGTATTATGTTATATTATTATTATTATTAATATTTATTATTATTATAGTATGTTATATTATTATTATGTTATATTATATATTATTATTATTATTATTATTATCATTATTATCATTATTATTATAGCACATTTTATTTTTGCATTGTGATGATGAAACATCTTATTGCTATCAAATATACTTAAGAGCTACTTTTGCCGCGAGGCATCCGTGAGCTGCCGTTGTACAACACCCAGCAGGCGGGCATGAGGATGTTGACCGAGCAACTCAGCGAGCGAAAAGATGGTGGCTGCGGGATTGGGGGTTAGTAACGGTTAGTAAATTCAGATAAACCCAGATGTGTCAAACTGACTTTGAGCTATTTGTTGAAGCTATTTGCAGTTTGACATTTTACTATGTTGACTATACAAGAAAAAACATGTGCTTGGGGTTAGCCAGCAACAACAAGCGGATTCAAGCAACAAAATCGGTATCTGGGGGGGAAGGTAGTAGCTCTTGGACCAGCTGCATATGGCTTGAGGTCAGCCCAAAAACTTGACAAGGGCACCATCAATTTGCCGCTTGGCAGCGTTGATTGAGGTTGGACCAGTCCAAACGAGCCAGTTGACTCAGCAAAAGCTCTGAATTCAAGAGTTGGAGTGACTGGCAGTATGCATTGCAGAGTCTATACTAGTCTATACTGGATAGACGAGTGTTACACAATGGATACAGCCGCGAGTCTTGCGAATTGCCCCAAAAATACCTAATTCACAATTTCACGGCTGACGCCCCATTGTGGATCTTGGGATGGCAAAATAGGGTCGTGGAGTCGTGGGTCGATGCTTGTGGCAATGTACGATGGTTTTTACTGTATTGAATTGGCAATGGACTGGTGGGAAGAATTTCTTGGGTTTGCTGCAGATTTTCTCTGGAAAAATAGTAGCGTGATGAATCTCCATGAATTAATCACCCTGTTCCCAGTTCACTGGGCTGCTGAGGGAAGCCCTGCACACAATCATCAAATATCGGGACAAGTACGAGCCGCTGGTTGAGCAGGTGCGGATGACATGTTGGCACCCGGATACGGTCACCAGTAGAAACCTTGTTGTACATGTTGGTTGCTGATGAGTTATTTGATTGAGAAATGATGGGGTGGTTGATTTTTTAAAACTCTATATACTCTCTCTCTCTATATATATATATAAATGGGAGATTATCAGAGTCCATGAGAGTGGAAGTTCATCAACCAACCCTTGTAACGGATTTTTCTGTTACCTGCCTCAAGTGTTATCCGCTGGATTCCTGGGGATTTTACGACCGTTTTTTCTTGGGAGGTAAGATGATATGCTTGGGATGATTTGCCAGTCTCACACTACAACTACAGCTGAAATCCGGATCACCACAGACACAATAAAGCTGTTAATTGTTTGTCAAATAGTATCCCCATATTTCAGAGGTTGAATTCATCAAGTACTCGTAGTTGTGGGTTGTAGGTTGACCCCTTTTTTTGATAGGAAACCTAAGATACCACCAAAAAACTCCGGCGAAATGCATTGGATCTATTCAATCTATTCATGAATTGGGGGTCCGTTGAAGGGAATTTCCTAGTCGGTGGATGAGATCAAACCACTCTCTATATTTGGTATATGCTTATTTTTACCGCATTTTGGTTGGTGATTATGCCAATTTTGTTTGGTTGTATACACATTTCGATTGTTTCTACGCCCATTGGGGTGGGTTTATAATACAGGGGATTACTTGAGACAAGTGATCAATGGTTCCCCCAATGCTCTACAGCCCAGGGGTTTACTCCAAGCGCCAGCATAGGTGGCAACACGGCCCACGGCCATTCCTGAGAGCACCCGGGCGGAAAAAAATAATGCAGAAGGTTTCAACACCTTTGAAAAGGGGGATTGTATATATATATATACACCTATATATGGTATATGTAATAATCATATACACACACACACACGTCTATATTAATATAATTCCGTGTATATATATATATACATACACAGACAGACGGACGGACGGACGGAGGGATGGACGGACAAAGGGACGGACGGACGGACAGACAGATAGATAGATATGTCACAATGTATAAACGTAATTACGCATTGTTTATATTAACATAAAATAAAGATTATCACATGATAAAGGTGGGATTCGGCCTGGAAGAAATCTGTATCCCTACACAGTCCAAAGGTTCTCACCGGAGACAAACGTGGCATTCACCAATAGTCTTCGGATTCCACCTCCACCAGGGATTCCAATGGCGTCCGCGCCTGGCATGGAGCAAATTCCATGGCAGAACCCTCGAAATGGACAATCGAAGGGGCATCAGCACTGCAAAAATTCACTCTTACCGACTCTTTCCCCATTTATCACTTGTCTATATCCTACAAGAACAGCATGCATTCCATTTATGCCCCTTTGAAAAACAGAACGGCTCCTGATGGGGGAGTGTTTTTCCACAAACAACTCGTCAAACACACTGGTATTTACAGCGTTTTGTGACTAGACGGGGCTCAAAACCGGTATTTTGAAACAACAAACATATTTCACCTCAGCAAAGGCTGCCATTTGGTCCCAGAAAACACTTATATCTACAGACTTTTGTGACCAAATAAACCTTGTTGTGATGCTTGCAAAGGACTATACCCAATCACTTGCAATCACAAAGTCCCACACACACACACAGCAAAAAAAAATACACAGAAACACCACATGCCACGAAACTTGGTGGATTTTGCATGTTGGAATGGAATAGACATTATCAATGGGTGGCTTGTGTGATCGAAGTGATGGATAATGATATCGTGGTTTCTTGAACATGCTGAACAGGTATCATATCAACACATATTTCTTATAGAAACATTTGCAACAAATCATTGGAAGTAAAAGTGTAGGAATGCATCTGGATATATGCAAACACATCCAACAATCTGACTAAGAAGGAGGGTGGGAATGTTGCAACTCACGAAGTGAAGGCATGTCCTGTTTGTAATGTTGTTTTGCAGAGCCTTGTCGGAAGGTCCATTTCATTCATTGGAGATAGAAAAAGAGCGGGAGAGAAAGAAAGAGAGAGAGAGAGAAAGAGAGAGAACTGTGTTGCTGGTTTCTTTTGAAAATCATTCTTTGGTTGGTCAAGGTCCAAACATACATGACCTAGCATGCACTCAAGAGGCAGCTTCCGTTACAATTTACAAAACATAACTAGCAAGAGATGAAGTGAGGTTTATAGTTTAAGAAATTATGGACACATTTCTTGTTTGCATTTTTATATCTTGTGTTGCAGAGCCTTGTTGGCAGTCTCATTTTCGAAATTGAAGAGATGCATTGATTACTGTATATATCCAATTGGTTTTTGGAATGCAAACGTGCATGATTTGTTTGCGGCCGCGAGGCGGTTGCAATTGGCATTCCTGATACATGTGCCACCAATAGCCGAAGTAAGAGTAATAGCAGGGCTGGTGACAAGTGAGCTTTGTTTCTTGCTTGTTCTTGTTGGTGTCTGTCAATGTAAGGTCAGAGTCACCAAACCTGCACTGGCACCCAAAAAACACTAAATGCGCAGAACCTGCGCAGGCACCAAAAAATTCAAACTAACCGAACATTTTCAGGAACCATGGGTCCAATTGTGAGTAGTTGCTAGAAATCTAGGTTATTTCTTTTGTGCCTGTGCAGGTTTTGTGCATCCAGTTTTTTTTTTTGTGTGCCTGCAAATATTTTTGTACATCTCATGACAAGATCATGAATCATGATGAAACAAATGCGTTTTACTAGGGTTTCAGACCCTCCAAGCGCATATAACATCAGTATTAGTAGCGTTTTATGTTTTTTTTTAAAAAAATCAAAATCCACTCCCCCCGGGAGTGCCGCTCTCTTTGGAAACTCAGCCTAGCCGTTGCTTCGTTGATTCCTACCATCTCTGAGGTAGTCAGAAGCTCACCCAATTCGACACGGAGTACAAGCAGCTGAGGCAATACTTAGTTCGGTCTCTTGTTTAAAGTTGGCAAAGTTGGGGGAGAGCACACACACAAAGTTGATTTATCCATTTTGTCACAGAAAAGCACATCCAATTGAGGGATACATTTTCATTCCCAATTTGATGGCAGGTCTCGAGGGTTGATATTTCAGCTGAAGTAAATTTACAGAAATTCTTGCTGTGGGGTGGCTGAAATTAGCGGTGAAAGGGCCTAAGGGGGTGGGTCACACCTCCGGCATTGCCAGGAGTTGATACCTCAGCGATGGTGCCGGTGAACACATTCTTCTGTGCATTTCTGTTTGTCATAGAGATCCCAACTAGCTACCATCTGGTTCTGACTAACATAGCCATGGAAAATCACAATTTTTAATAGGTAAACCATCTATTTCTATGGGCCATTTTCCATGGCTATCTTAAATAACCAGAGGGTACATCCCAATGGCTAATCGCCTGGACCAATGATAGATGATGACTACTAAGCAAAACGAGGCTTTTGACTTTACAGGAAAATCCCCAACCGTCACAGCTTATAACCCACATATCTTAAACTTCCCTTCCCAAGTTTATTGGCTTAAATCTATCTACCTTTGAGTCCTCCCCCACTTTTAAGGACAACTCCACGACAAAATCGATAATTATTGTCACTTCTCAACAATCTTTTTAGGTTGTGAAATCTATGTCATCAATGGTGAACCCATAATCTATAGATCATTAGCCCTTTGTTACATGAACATTCCCCAGTTCTTAATGGGTGCCACCTTTTGAACATAGGCTACCCGAAGGCGCGTCCCATGATTTTCCAGTTCTCTCCCCAACATGGCCATTTCTGGGGTATACGCTGCTAAACCCAGTACATCCCAGTACATCACATGGTTTGCTGGAACATCCACCATTCAGTTCGATGGTTTTCTTATTTAAAAGCATCGATTTAGTTCTGGCGATTTCCCAGCGGCCCGCCGTGATTGATAACCCAATGGGATATTGTTGATGATATCCCCATTGTGTACTGTATATATATATATATACATATATATATATATATCTCACCATTTAGTTGGATGATTGTCCGATTTTAAATCTCCATTTTCTCATGGCCCTTGCCCAATTTTTGGCTGAGGTTCTGCCAGCCGGCGCACATCGAGGCTGCAGAGCTGGAGCGAGTGGTGGAAGGGTGCCTGGGCGATATCCACTGCACTGGAACTGAACCCCCCCAAGGTATGATTGGAAGTGCAGTTCCAGATACCCTGGGTTAAAACCATAGTGAAAAAGCCATAGTGAAAAACCTCAACTGCGTCCCCTGGTAAGTCAATACCTATTCACCTGTTCAATATTCCATATTCAGTCCTATATTGGGGATGAACCTCCATAGACTTAGACACCATTTTGCTGTGAACAGAAGGGCATTCCATGGCTTTTGACCGCCAAATGTAAGATGGAAAAGGTGACGTTTACGACCTGACGAAAAGACATTTTTTTAATATATCACTACTGTTGGGGATGGTGACTCTGGCATTATTGTGGATTAAACAAATTCCAACCACAGCAATTTATGTTTTTTTTTTTTTTTCATAGGGCATAAATATGACCATGATCATGACCATGACTATGGCTATGAATATGAAAAAGGAAGATTATGATGATGATGATGATGATGATGATGATGACGATGACGATGATGACGACGATGATGATGATGATGACGATGATGATGATGATGACGACGACGAAGATGATGATGACGATGACGACGACGACGGTGATGATGATGACGATGATGATTGTGGTGGTGGTGGTGGTGGTGGTGGTGACGGTGATGGTGATGTTGATGATGATGATGATGATAATAATACGTTTTTTGGGTTTCACTTGGAAGCCTTCAAGCGGAGCAAATTGTCATCATGGAAGCTTCCAAGACATTGGACAGACATATAGTTTCTGGACCCACAGTCTCTGACCCGAAGCAACAACATGTGATCAAAACAGAACAATATTTATTGGAATTTGCATTTTTTTGGGCAAACCCGAATGGTGTATGAATTAAACTTGAAACTTGAAACAGGTGAGATCAAGGTTATTTGAGGTTGAGGTCATGCTATATTGAGACAGTATGAATGCACTTTTCATGGTTGAGTTAAGCCTACACCTCAAGGTCAATGGGTTCGGTTTGACGAGTTCATTTTCAGTCATAACTGATGTATGACTTGGGGGGTGCAATTCCAGTGAACCAAGTGCATATTCATTCTCAGCCTAGTTTTCTAGGGCCCCATATATATCCCAACTTATGGGGATTAGAATTTGATGGTTATACCAATTTTGTTCACCCCAGTCCTGCACCCCCAGAGTATGAAGAGTATGAATGATTCTCTAGGCTCTGAGAGGCTGTAAGGTTTAATGACGGGTCCCCCATTTTTGTCACCTCCCGTTTCATCAAACATGGCACGCCGCAAATCCCTCGAACTTGTGGGGTATCTCCGGTGTTTTCGCCATCTGGTTGTCCGAGGATTAGCAGGGACTACGAATCTATGGAGTTGAACGTGGCAGCGGGTAAGTTCACAGGTTTAAAGGTGAGAGCGCACCTGTCCCCTGGCTGCAATGTCGGAAAGTTGTCAACCCCGGATGATTTTATTCCTCGATCATACGAAAAGATGAGGTTTTCTCTGAAAAAGTTGCAAAACATGCTTTTACAATTTTACAGGAGCTATTGGAATGGAACATGCGAATTCAAAAGCCCAAGTGTACGTATATTAATCCAGAGTTGACATTTTGGTTCAAAAATTAAGTACCAGCGGACCCGCATATACTTATATGATATGGGAACTTTGAATTTGCAACATATCCAAAAGTTGGGAGGCCAATAATTTTGAGGCGTAGCCACACGATGACTTCGATCTTGATTAGAAACGCAAAGTGAGGCTTACCCCAACTGTGACCATAGAGACTTGCCCAATTTGTTTGAAGCCACGGCTTTAAGCCGTGGCACAGGCTTCGCCATGTCAATGCCGACTTCTTTACTAGTACAGGTACTGGTTCCTACCATGGAGGATTGCATTCTTGAGTCCTTGAGATAAACAGATTCTCTTCCTCTCTACAGTCGTTTTTATCTCCTCCATACCCTTGATGTATACATGTATGTGCATTGGTACATATGTATATATATATACATATGTATATACATATGTATATATACATATACATATATAACATACATGAACCTATATACACATCCCCATTTACAAATACAGTCGTGATACATGATCCCATTCCTCAATATTAACAACGCCTTTTTAGGCGGTCCCAAACAGGTGGTGTCATCCCCTAAAGCATGGTTTCTTGGGAGCTATATTAGGGGGAATATATTATATATAAAGTATATAATATAGCAGTTCCCAAAAGGATAGACAAGTAATTCATTCATCACTATTTCAGTAGGGTTTGACCTTTCTATCTTTTTTTTTGGGGTTACTATATAATTACTATTATATATGTATATATATATACATACATAGACATAATACACGCATATCCTACGTATGAGCACCCAACATTTTCAGGGCCTGGCTCTACCAGCTGAATTCCTCCACCGTCTTCTCGGGCATCTGGATGCAAACCGCCCGGCCAGATGCTGGGTGGCGAGGGGATGGGGCCGATGGGGGTGATTTTTGGGTCCTGACTTCCTTTTTTTTTAAAAATACATAGATAACACACACACACACATAATATATATATATATTGTATTTGTATTTTGTATATGTATATGTATAGGTATATGTATATGTGTATGTGTATGTGTATGTATATATATATTTGATGATGTTAATAATGGTAAATAACCTCTAGATCTTTTTTGGGGGTACTATCTATATATGTATATATATATATATATACACACAATTTTCTGAACTTGGGGGAGTTCAAACTCACTTGATATCATGGTGAACTGAAGTGAAGTGGTGGTTGTTGCCTCCCAAACTGTTGTTCTGATGCATTTCGGAGGGACAAAATTCCTTCCAAGAGGCGTTTAGCCAGAGTTCCAATCCTTCTCAGAAAGCTCGCAGGTTGGACCCAAAACCCTGTATTGCCAGGGAGGTAAGCAATTGATGTATACACTGTTATGGGTCGAGTTGCCAACCAAGACTGCCCATCCTCAACTTCCAAGGAGGGTGGAAATTCAGAGAGGAAAATCGAGCAGGAAGAGGCGACGGGTGAAGGAGTCCTGGGATGACAATTGAAGTCCCCATGGTTGAACTAGCTGGAAGCAACGGATCCCGACTTCAGGAAAAAAAAATATATCAGAGTATATCAGAGTTGTTTGTGATTGTATGCATACATACATTACGTTACAATGCGTTGCGTTACATTACATACATAGCACGGGGATTCCCAAAAGGCGACCCTCCAAATAAGAAGAGATTATTAAAGGCAAATCAATCAACAAGGGCTTATTAACAATCTATTATTTGCGGTGGTGGCCTTAAAAGAAAAATATACCCACATGTACATCCCACTCACAAAAAAGCTTTCAACAGCTGGTACCCCATGGTAGCCTCAATTCCAATGGATTATCATCATATTTCACAGACCCATACGATTTTGGGGTATATCTCATTCTTGGACAGACCCATTCAGAAAAAACGACATTCGGCACTATCCCCCAACAGTATGGCAAAGCCTCCATAAATATTTGTTAACCTGTTAAAGCCCCATTTGTTGTTGGTCTAATTCCTACTTTCATGACGGGCCAATCCCAATTGGTGCTGTTCAAACCCTCTCTCATTTTGATGGTTGAGTCCCCACTTATTGATGGTTGCCCTCTGGTAAACACAAATATAGCAATAGAAATCACCATATTTTTCACAGGTAGATCATCTTAGATGGGCCATCTATACAATCTATACCACAGCCATGTTAGTTTACTGGAGGGTAAACCGCATTTTTTTGGGGGGAACTCCACCGGGCGACCGCAGGTGGTGAATAGCATCATTCCGGCTGCCAGGAAGACTTGGGAGGCCCAGTTTTGTGTTGTCAGATGTCGCGGCTGACCTCAACCTGAACCATGATGCAGGGAGTTGATAGTTGCCATATAGTGAATCCGCACGTTCTTGATCAACCATCAGTTGGAGTCATCAACCCGCCATAATGGCTAATGTCACCAATCAAGTGTGGGGGATCTATCATGATTTAGCATGGTCAAAAGTTGGATCGGATGCCCACATTGCGAAAGGGTCCCTTGGCCAATGGCCAACTACGGATTCCCTTTTTTTCATGGTGGGATGACCCTTGCATCAACTTTCGTGATGCGTCATCAAATTCTTGGTGAAATCACCACTTGGTATACTGAATGCATGGCCTCAACGGACGCTTGGCCTCACCGACCTGGTCGCGCTGGTCCCAGGACCTCGCGAAAAGCATCGAAACGGGGCAAGCCATTCTGAAGGAGACCCGGCGCTGAGAATCCTTGGATTGGACTCCATGTTCAGATTGACAAAGCCAATATATATAAATTGAATATATATATATATATATTCCAACAATTTAGATCAATTTAGTAGAATCTGAAGGGATCTGTGTGTATTTTTCATACATCAACAACACGATGGTAGGTGATCACCAAAAGTAGCGAGCCGAGACTGTTGGTGCAGGCTAGCTGTCGCCGCATTTGTCAGGACATCAAATGGGTTGTGGAGTCTACCATGGCTCAAGTGGTTTATGAATTGAAGCTCTTGGTTTCTTGGCAGCACTTTCCAGGGTGGACCTCTCTTCATGCATAGATTCTCTTTTGATCAAAGGGATGAGGTATGGGAAGTGAGAACTATGGTTACTGGGCACCCACTCTCTGGCAAACCGATATTGTGATGGAGAGTCACTCAATTTGTAAATCATATTCAGATCGCATGTGACGACGGTCCATTTCAAGGTTGGATGAAGGGGTGCTTTCTGGTCCGTAACGGAAATATGGATATGATATGAGTCCAGATTCAAGGCCCAGAAAACCAAAGAACGTGGGCAAGCCGTCTCATTGTGTGTCAGTATACATGGCAAGGTAGCGCATTTTTCCTTGGATTATCGAGATCATTGGTCGTGGCGTGGAAGGTTAGAGAAAAATGCTGAGGCATAAGCTCCCCGAGAAATGGCATCATCATCACACCAGATTTTTTCTGTATCCCTTCCATCTTCAAGCAATAGGAAGTCTGTTCCATGTTGGTTTGATTGAAAAAAATGGTACCCCGAAATCCCATGGCTAATCATATTTTTTCCCATTGGAATTGGCACTTAGGAGGTATCCCTTATTTGAAGACACATCAAGGTATTATTTTCCTGCAGTAGCTGGTTCATGTCAATTCCAAGATTAGAATCTTCCTTAGAGGTTGCAAGTGATATTTTTTTCCCCAAAGTGTGTGCACACTGAGGGGGTTCTTACGGTGGGAATTGGCCGGGGTTAACCCCCGACTGATGGCAAGGTTGTCATGTCACTTAGGACGTAGGGGATGGTAGTTCCGATCATATCCGATGACATCATGATATTTTTCCGTTCTGCTTGATTTCGTCCACGTTCCCATGAAATCTTGTTTCCATTCCCCATGTCCCATTTGAGTGTCTGAAAATTTGATATGACCCCCCAAGAAGGCATTTTCATATCAACATGTGCACCGAGTCCACCATGTTTCCATGTCGCAACTCCCGGGTCAAACGGGGGCAAACAGCGACCCGGCGACCCGGCGACACGGCGACCAGGAAACCACTGCGCCCAAGAGCAAGGCCTGGGTGGTGGAGGTGCCAATGGGGTGGACATTTCTTGGTTTTTTCTCAGAAACTCACCATGAATTTCTGATTTAATGGTGATTTAATGGGAATAATGGTGATTTCTGGTGATAAAAGAGGAAGATAACTCAACAAAATGGGAATTTTTATTGAATATCTTGGATTTATCGTGATTTATTGGAAGATAACTGAGATAACTAAACAACAATTTGGGATTTGACAAAAATCAGATTCAGAACCTCCACGGTCTTCCGAACACTTGAGAAACTCGCCAGTTTCCGAATACAACTCCAACAGAAAAGGTCCATCTTTGGGGTCTGAAAATGAGGTTTTTACCCATGTTAGTGCACTTTTCATAGGAACGATGATGAAACATCAATTTGTTGGGGTAGCCATTTTTGAGACAGAACCGTGCTGTAAAAACCCATGGGTTTCCTGAGTTTCCAGAATCCCTCAAGCCAATCCAGTGCAGCTGAAAGATGGAAGGCTTTTTAAGGCAACATGTTCTATGAGGATTTTTGGAAGGGAACATGTACCCACAGATGGACATTTCACCGATTCTTAGCCAGAAAAACCCAAAACACGACAGTATTGCGAAGGGAAAATAGGGAATCTTATGAGGACTCCCAAAGGGTTTCATTTTATCAGCATTGCTTGGTGATTCCTGACATTTGTTTGTTCAATGGCTCCCAAACTTTGGCAGCATTTTTTTTACGTTTTGTTTCTTTTAAGGGTGAGCCGTATGAGGCCTCATGGATTTGGAATATGTTTTTCATCCACTGGACGATTTTGGTAATTCGCTGTTCAGAATTGGGACAAGTGTTGAAGATCATTCATAGTGTCAGTTTGATCTTGTTTTGTTTTTGAGGATGGGATGATGATTTGTATTATTGTTGCATATGATTATATAGATATTTGCGCTAGTACAGTCATACATTTTTATCATGACTAATGATCACAACTGTATATAAGTCATTGACAAAATGTCTATTAGGTCAGTCTCACCATCATCACCACCATCATCATCATCATCATAATAGTGCTGTTCCTCGTAGCTATTGCAATGTTTTCTACTATCATCAGTTATTGCTTTACAAATTCTTGACCATTGATAATGGCAAAATCTTGATTACCAACATCGGTCACTATTATTGTCAGCATGCGTGTTGTATTGTGCTGTAATAATTGCTTTTCGTCGCTCTTCTTGTTTTGATTATGATTATCAGTCATTACGATCATCATAATTATGGGATTATTGTACTCTGATCATTTTGATCTTAAAATCAACCATTGTCAGTATCTTCATCAATATCATTATGAAAATATCCTGATCAGTATTCTTACTATTGTTAGCATTATTGTTTCATCTTATCATTATCATATTCTTTTTTTTTACTATGATTGTCATGACTACCATTATTATTACATATTATCATGTAATAATATAGTAATTACATGTTACATATTAGATATTATTATTACTATTATTATTACGTATTACATATTACTATAACTACTATTATGACTCTTATTATCATTATTGTTGTATTATTACTATTATCCGTCCAATAGTCCATCATTCTGCCATTGGACAATAAATTACTTTGGTACGGAAACATCCATTACTATGGCATGGGAAAATCCATCAGTGCTATCCATATCACTCTTCATTACGATATTTGTTTGTTTATTTGTTTGTCCATTCGTTTATTAGTTGTTTCGTATTACCAATATCCATTTCATAGTCCATTAAATACTATTGACTCTCGATATTATACATTCTAGTTAGTTCATGAGTTCATGAGTTCATTAATTGCTATTGTTGCATAGTCCATTAACATATACTGGACATGTACCAGATAGAATATTTTAGTACTAAATTAAAGGACCGGATAACCCCACATGTCAACTTCTTCCAATAAGTCACCAAAAAGAGGTGAAGACGGAATGGGAAAGGCAGGAAAGGGACATGAGATGGTGAAAGGTATATATGAAAGACTTGCGTGTGAGAGAGTTGTTTGTATGTCTGTATGTGTTTATGTGTGTTTTTGTTTGTGTGTGTGTATGTATGACTGTGTGTAAGTGTGTATGTGTGCGTTGTGTAGCCACACACAAAACATGCCCCACGCCATGAAAAGCGGCGAGCGGCATGAAGTGTGTGGCGTTAGGGACAGTGTGTCCAAACTTGCCGGCGCAGACCATCATGGAAGGTCGATGTCACCAAGGGGCACGCCTGCCACGCAAACAACCGCGGCGACAACGGCGTCAAATGGGACCCAAGCGCGCCACCAGAGCCAGGTGAAGGTCAATGTCGCCAAGTGCCGTGCCTGCCACGCAAAGTGGAGGTGGATGTCACCAAGTGCCACGTCTGCCACACAAACAGCCGCGGCGACAACGGCGTCAAACGGGACCCAAGCCCGCCACCAGAGCCAGCGTAGTGCCGTAAGTGCCAGGCCCGCCAGGCAAGATGAAGGTCAATGTCGCCAAGTGCCACGCCTGCCACGCAAAGTGAAGGTCGATGTCGCAAAGCGCGATGCCTGCCACGCAAAGTGAAGGTGGATGTCACCAAGTGCCACGCCTGCCACACAAACAGCCGCGGCGACAACGGCGTTAAGGGGGACCCAACCGCGTCACCAGAGCCAGCGTAGTGCCGTAAGTGCCAGGCCCGCCAGGCAAGATGAAGGTCAATGTCGCCAAGTGCCACGCCTGCCACGCAAAGTGAAGGTCGATGTCGCAAAGCGCGATGCCTGCCACGCAAAGTGAAGGTGGATGTCACCAAGTGCCACGCCTGCCACACAAACAGCCGCGGCGACAACGGCGTTAAGCGGGACCCAACCGCGTCACCAGAGCCAGCCCAGTGCCATAAGCGCAACGCCTGCCACGCAAAGTGGTATGTGAGCCAGTTGTGTGTGAGTAAGTTGTGTGTGTGTGTGAGAGTTGTGTGTGAGCAAGTTGTGTGTGAGCAAGTTGTGTGTGTGAGAGTTGTGTGTGTGAGAGTTGTGTGTGAGCAAGTTGTGTGTGAGCAAGTTGCGGCGGGACGGCGGGAGGAGGAGAAGGAGCGGACGGGAGTGCACAGCCAAAACCAAGAACCCCACACAAAGATGTGGGGAAAAACATTTTTTTTTTTTTAATGAGTACTAAATCGACCTTTGACCAGACAGAATATTAGACGAGATAGAATATTACTATGAATATCTATGCGCCATTATAGGCCACGGAGCTGTGTAAGTCTATGCGCCTCGCCGCCAAGCTGCGGCTCTGGGCACCCAGCACCTTAGCGCCAAATGCCGCCTGGGAACGGGGGATGTTGGGTGCATATGTATATAATAATATATATATATATACATGTTGACATCTATAGTTGTCGATATGTCTGAAATCTAATCTAATCTAATCTAATCCCATCTTATTTGTCTATCTCTGTCTATCTCTGTCCATCTCTGTCTATCTATCTTTTTTTCTTCTATCTACTGTATCTATGTGAATCATGGCGGACATGGCAAAAGAACATTGAAACATGGGAAATCACTAGAATAATCAGATAGATAGAACATGATAAGCAATGACGCAGAATTCAATTGAATGAAATTTAGTAGATAAATGAAGAAAAAACACATGTTGTGTTTAAATCAAAGAAGTATAACATGGGCCGATGTCGCCCGCGGTTTAGCTACAGGTTTGTACAGGTTTCCGAAGATATTTCCTTGTTGACGTTCCATATGGTTTTTTCCCAAAAGAGGGTGCCCTCAAACCCAACGGTTGATCATCATTTTCCCATGAAAATTGTTATTTGGGGGGTTGATCCAGTTGATCCCCCATTTCTCAGACACAACTGGCGAAACAAGAGAATTGGAGGTTTGGAACGATCCCTGAGGATGAATCTTGGGCTTCCAGCAACGAAACTTTTGGGTGCCGTGGGGGCTGCCAAGTAAGTAACATCACCGTGTCCCAATTGTGAGGGCTGATAGAAAACACAAACATTTGCTAATCGCAGGGATCATGAGGTGGGTTGTAAACAGTGAGTGACTGGGGTATATGTCCGTTGAGATATCATATCTACTGTATACGGGAACTACTTGCCAGTGGTACAGTTATGGTACTACTTGCCTTTTGTGAAAAACAATTTCCGACCGCAAAAACTTACCAACGAATTGACAAAATTCGGCATCCATCTTAATTTTCAGCCAAGGATAACTGCAGGATAGACCCCAATGCCCCAACAACTAATCACAATCCCTCCCCCTTGGCTGGAAAGGTCCAGCTGCTTTCTGGACTATCCAGCTGTTTGGAATCAGTCGTAGAATCGCAAGAGTTCATCCTTGGGTCAAAGTGCAGGACCCAAAGCCGATGGGGAACATACAGTTCCATTGGTTTCCACCAGGTCAATTTGGAGGTTCCCATAATCCATTTTAATAGGATTTTCCATTATAAACCATCCATTTTGGGGTACCCCCATTTATGGAAACCTCCATTTTGTCCTGCCGTTTCCAGGTATGCTTCACCTCCGCAACCAGAGCTTGTCCGAAATTTTCAAGGAGAATCACAAGGCAGCACCGGCAGGGCAGCAGGGCACCGGCAACAAACGCTCTAGCAGACTCTAGCAACGCTGCTGAACCACGAGATGTCCACATCCGGAAGAAATACACATCGAACATGTACATCATGTTCTTCTATATGTTTTGATGATCACGAGATCGAATGGATCACCCCCAAGTCTCCAAAATATCTTCTAACAGCCAATTGAGCCACTAAAAATACCATTGTGAGTGGTCAGAATAAGGGGTTACTTATACTACCGAATTTTATCGAGGATTATTACCTATGAACCAACCAGTATAATGGATATGATAGGGTTATTTTTTTATGGCTCAGTTCTTTCTCCAGGATGAGTGTGTTGAGATCCTGAACCAAGTGGTGTGCGAGTACGAGCACATGTGGACGAAAACCTTGGGAGAAATGACCGCCAGTGTCTTGGCAGCAAAGGCAGGGGTCCTCCGGGAAGCGGAAGAATCAGAATCGGGGATACGAACCACCAATATATGGTTCATCAACCATCAATATATGGGGATTTATGGCGATTTGATGGGATTTAATGGGATATAGCCTGATATAGCCAATCAAATAGGCTATACCCTCCAAGTGGCAATGTTTCATACGGAAAATGATTGACAACTGGACCCCATTGGTTACCCAATTTTCAGACTTTTGGTCAATTGGGGATGGGTTGAGGATCCAACCATCTGTTGTTTGGGATGAACATGGTATGAGAATAGGTTTAAAGGACAATGGCCACAGGAAAGCCCATATTTGTGTGGATAATAAATCCGTGGTTTCCAAGTTTTTGCAGCCTAGGTGTAACGCCCTACAGAGAGACCATCAACACCTTGTCGGAGGCTATGCAGGACATGGGACGCGTTGTCATACCTGGCCAAACACAGGGAAGATGAGCTCGAAATTACATGACATGACGCAGATCATGTACCTACATGTACCTACTAAAGCTATTGTACGCAGATCATACATCTAAATATATTACATATATGCATACACATTTTCACACAAAATCACACGTATACATGTGTATGTCAGTATATGTATATGTGTATGGATGTATATGTGTTTTTTTTTGCATAACATGTAGGATTATGAAGGTATAATTGTATAAATGTATTATGTATGTATGTCATGTCACATTACGTCATGTCATATCAGGTTACGTCACATCATGTCACGTCACGTCATGTCATGTCATGTTATGTCACGTCACGTCATCGTGACGTCATGTCACGTCACGTCATGTCAGGTGATGTCATGTCACGTCATGTCATGTCATGTCACGTCACATGACGTCATGTCACGTCACGTCACGTCATGTCACGTCATGTCATGTCATCTATGTATATATATTTATGTATATGAATATGTGTAATTATAATTGTTACGCAAATACATCATTCCTAAACGGCTAAGATGGGGTAAAGTGTCATGACGCATTTTGCCAAGACCCATGCGCTTTTTCTTGCAGAGGGTGGTGCACCTTGGTTTACTGACACCTTTTGCGAAGGATTTGGATTTGCCTGGGGTTCTCTCCCCTTCACCAAACTTACTTTTTTTGGTCCAAAAGTCCAAGACATTTTTTTTTGTGTGATCAGAATCAGACTGTCGAATCTACAGGTCATACTTCAACTGTCCATGGCCTAGTTCGGCCTGCAGGACTACACCATCACCGCCGCCAAGCACGACAAATCCTTGGAGTGGCTGCTGACCCGATCTTCCACCGAGGTCTGGTGATCCAATAGGGGGTCCGATGAAGAGGATGGATTTTGGCGCCACATATCATCTATAGTCTTGTACATAGTGTATATATATATTATATATAATGTATATATAGTATATATATAGTGTATATATATATAGTGTATATATATATAGTGTATATATAGTGTATATATATATATAGTCTGTGTATAAATATATATATATAGTGTGTGTATAGGTAGATATATATATATAGTATGTGTATAAATATATATATATATAGTGTATATATATATAGTGTATATATATATAGTGTATATATATAGTATATATATATAGTGTATATATATAGTATATATATATAGTGTATATATGTAGTGTATATATATATAGTGTATATATATATATAGAGTGTATATATGTAGTGTATATATATATAGTGTATATATATATTATAGTATGTATATATAGTGTGTATATATATATAGCATACACTATACTATATATATAGTGTGTATATATATATATAGTGTATATATATATATATAGTCATATAGTGTATACATACATACCCTATCTACAAGGAGGATGTCACCAGCATGTTCTTGTCTCCCCTTGTCTCCTAGCTTGTCTTCCTTTTTGTTTCCCTTTTTTTCTCGGTACCCAGTGTTGCGACAAAGCTAGCGAAGCCGAAACATTATAAACGTGAAATGGTCGGCACTTATTGCAGACATTATCACGATTCCTTCCGCTGCTATTTCATGTGTTTGACCTGTTCCTCAAAGCACTTTTCCACCCGTTTTTCCATGGATAGCAATATCTTCATCGAAAAACGTGAGGTTTTTCGCGGCAGGACTTTAATCTGCTGCTGTCCTTGTGCACGCCCAATACGGACGATCCCATTATCCTGGCTGCCATTGCCTCCTTGCCCCTTGGCGATTTCCGATTTTCGATGGAAGATCAAGAGGATATCCTGCAGATTTTACCTTAAATCTAATAAAATTATACTTAGATGATAGCTGAACATTGGGTTTTCTCTTATTCATTTTTCCTCAGGCTTAAACAATTTCTGGGTAAAATGGGTAAAGGCAGGCTGGTTCAAGAGTCGAAAACCCGAGTGTTGTGCGATTTGTGCGGTAGCGGATCTGGGGAATGAAAATCCGGGACGCATTTCCAAGTGGCATCAACTGCCAGGGCAGATTTCCTTACCATCTCTTTTAGAGTGCAGAGAACACATGGCTATCACCAAAAAAAACAAAGAATTCAAGTCCGTTTGGCGTCCCCAAGCTCTGTGCAACCGCTGCAAGTCCGAAAAAAAACTGGGTAACTGGAGGCAAAATGGGGTGTCCATGGCATGCTGGGAGCTGAGCCGCCAGGAAACAGATGCGAACCTTCTTGGCAGAGGCGGAGCTGGAGCTCGAGACATCGGGCCCAGAGTCCACAGAATTTGATCGTCATAATTTTCCATCCAAAATAACATCAAACAACCAGGGCTGTGAACACTACCTGAGCCGAGCAGTGAGTGCTATGAAATATACAGTACCCCCCAAAAAAGATAGAAAAGTGATTCTATCTTTGTGAGGGTTACTAATACTTGATATGTTTTAATGGGAACCTGAATAAGCCCTTTCGGGGGAACGCCTTAACACCGCCTTAGCTTTTTCAAGGCCCTCTACTCGAAACCGCCTTATGCTGGGCTGCAGAAGTTCATCGAGGACGCCTGTTAGCAGAGAGGCGATGCGAGACAATGTGTCATTATGCATAAAAAACATCCGAATTTCACACATTCCATGACATGATACCATACGATATGATATGACATGATATTATATTATACAATTATATATCACATGTAGATCTATTATTAGGCTGGACATTTGTTCAGCATAGAATCACAGAATATTGTCCTGGTCACAGATTCAGCCGCGAAAGGAGCTGGCAAAGCTGAAGGTTGATACTGCTGAGTCCCTTTGAGTCATTGGTTCTGGATGGATTTTAACTACCTCACGTCGCGACGTCACGTCAAAATGATGGTTCGTAAGGGTAACTATTCCCAAATGGCCGAACTTCAGGCACCGGTTGTCCTCTGCACGGGGGGCGGAGAAGGGAAGATTGACTGCCGAACCTTTCAGACTGGTGACTTACTGGAGTTTATCTAAATTGGTTCGTTGAAAGTCTCTTTTTTTCTCTCTGGATTTTTACCTGTAAAAAGAGGTGTTTCCTGTATTCTATCCCTTGAATTATTGGATATGGGGTGGAAGATGATTTTGCCAATATGGATGGTGGAAGCAGCTACTTGTCTTCAGACAAACCTATATAAGTATCATATTGTTGAACATATTCCCATCATATATTGTATATTTTCCCAATCTATTCCCCACTTTTTACCACTCTTCACTTCCGTTGGCGCTGGCCACGAGGCAGCAATGTTTGGAGTCGGTGCAGACGAGCTTTGATCCGATGTTGGAGCTGTTGACCACCCATTCACGAACTCCTGGAGTGCAGGACGGGCATCCCCTATTGGGGTTGTAGGTACTCATCAATGGGGCCCATTGGCTCAGTTCCCAAGCGGCTTCCTAGCCCTGGTGAAGTGCAGATATAACGTCAGTTGTATTTGGTATATCATCATGTTGGCCAAAGCGTTTTTGCCCAGGCCCAGTTTTGGGTCAGAGTTTTCGCCCCAAATGTCTGCAAGTGGCCCATCATTGTCTCGTGCACCTCATCCCATCCTGTCACCAGGCGTGCTACGACCTCACGAAGATTCATCTCACAGGAACCTTCCACGTGACCTGCGCGTTGACGGAGAGCGCAGCTTGGTTCTTGAGTGCTCGAAATGACCAGTGGAAAACTGAGGTAGCTCCCAATATGATTATCCCTAAAATATACGGGGTTCGAATTAAGTTGTATCAAATTATAGATAAATAAATGTATAGATATAGAGATATGTATACCAATTGAGGACAAAAGAAGGGGTTCCCACAATTGTAGATTGGATGAGAACTACCACAATACGTGGGCAGAAAATTAGTGGTTTACATCAGTGAAATTGGTGAAGGACCTTGGGATGATATGCACTGCCCGCTGCAGCCTATCCAACAAGGAGGTACTGTATATACGGTACTGCAGCATCAGCGGCCATGTTTGGAGGCGTGTACATATATATATATATATATTATAATATAAACATACAGTATAAAACAATATATACATATATATATATATCATTTCATTACCTACTGTAGGTTTATTTGAATCAGGCATCTCAAATTTTGGATACATGAAATGAATGCTGAGAAGAAAGAGTATGTGCAGTGCGTAAGAGATGGTATATGGATATGGGCGTGTCCAAAAGTAGGTGATACCCCAAAATGGCAGTTTCGATAGGGAACATCATGGTTCACCATCGATTTGGGTACTCAATCTTCAGGTTCGAGCCCATTTCTTGTGAAATCAGGGGATCTATGCAGCAAACCAGGTCCTTTCCGACAACCTACGCGAGGGTGGTGACGGTTGGAATGGTTGGAATGGTTGGAATGCTGGAATGGTTGGAATGGTTGGAATGGTTGGAATGGTTGGAATGGTTGGAATGGTTGGAATGGTTGGAATGGTTGGAATGGTTGGAAGAGTACAGTCAGTAGCCCTTATGCAAAGGGCAAGCTTGGCTTCCGAATTGCTTCATATATATATATATAGACATGTATGTATGTATGTAATGTAATTAAATGTAAATGTAAATGTAAATGTAATGTAATTTAATGTAAATGTAATGTACTGTAAACGTAATGTAAATGTAATGTAAATGTAATGGTAATGTAATGGCAATGTGATGTAATGTGATGTAATGTATGAATGTATATATATATATATGTATACATATTAGTTGAACCATCCTGCAAACAGATTATATTTGTGTCAGGGAGAACTCACATATGGGTTCGTCTGAAAACAGGATACCCCGAAATCCAGTGCTTTACCAGTAGTACCGCACAAGGCGGTGGCGGAAGTTTCAAGGATAGGACACTATAGGAGAGCTGAGTTGTTGTGATGCATGGATGGCAGAGCGAATCCACTGATGGACCGAAAGGTGGTTGGAGTTGTGCTTTTTGGAGTGGTTGCAATGGTTGCAGTGGTCGCCTCACTCACAATTCCTGGATGTAGTGTGGTGTAGTGCAGTAGTTGTCGTTGTAGTTGTAGTTGCAGTTGTAGTTGTAATGGGGTTGATGTTGTTGAACTTGCAATGTTGTAGTTGTAGTTGTAGTTGTACTTGTAGTTGTAGTTGTAGTGTTGTGGTAATTGTTGTTGTAGTAGTGTAATTGGAATTGAAGCCGAAGTTGTATTTGCAGTTGCAGTTGTAGTGCAGCTGAATTTGTAGTTGTAGCTGTAGTTGCAGTTGCAGCTGTAGTGTAGTTGTAGTAGTTGTTGCAGTTGTAGTTGTAGTTGCAGTTATAGTTGCAGTGGCACTTGTAATTGTCGTTGTAGTAACTGTAGTTGAGGTTGTAGTTGTAGTTGAAGTGTAGCTGAAGTTGTTGTTGTTGTGGTTGTAGCTGTAGTTCTTGTAGTTGAAGTGTAGTTGAAGTTGTAGTTGTAGTTGTAATGTAGTTGTAGTTGTAGTTGAAGATGTAGTTGTAGTTGTACTGTGGTGTAGTGCAGTTGCAGTTGTCTATCTATCTGTCTATCTTTTCGTCTTTCTGTGTATCTATCTATCTGTCTGTCTATCTGTCTAGCTATCTATCTATCTATCGATCGATCGATCGATCTATCTATCTATCTACCTATCTACCTATCTATCTATCTAATCTAATCTATCTATCTATCTATCTACCTATCTATCTATCTAATCTATCTAATCTATCTAATCTATCTATCTATCTATCTATCTATCTATCTATCTATCTAATCTAATCTATCTATCTATCTATCTACCTATCTACCTATCTATCTATCTAATCTATCTAATCTATCTAATCTATCTAATCTATCTAATCTATCTAATCTATCTAATCTATCTAATCTATCTATCTATCTATCTATCTATCTATCTATCTATCTGCAAGTTTGAAAACGAAGCTATTCTGCGAGATATCCTCAATTTTTGAACTTGACAACATCAAAAACGAAACAATTCTGCGAGACTTCCTCAATTTTTGACCTTGACAACATCAAAACCGAAACAATTTTGCAAGACTTCCTCAATTTTCGAAGTTGACAGCATCAAAAACGAAACAATTCTGCGAGACTTCCTTCAAAAATGGAAAGTTGAGTGCAGAGCTGACGGCCGCGTACCAATGCGTTTTCCGATTTTTCCACTCCACCTGTCTAAAGTACTGCGCCTGCCACGACAAAGTGATGCCAGGTCGTACGAAGTGCTGCACCTGTCACGCAAAATCATCTTCCCAAAACTGAAGATCTGATGCTCCAAAATGCAACCCCTCTCAGGAAGTCAGCGCCCGGACCCCCTAACATCTCTGATGAACATGTCTTTTGTACTGCGCCTGCCACGGAAAATGCATTTTGCCAGATCCTCTTCAAATGTCCCACGCCTGCCATCGTTTTAGGAAATGCCACAAAACCCTCTCCGAACCCGTCAGTTTTTTACACTTTTGACTTCGAAATGTGCTTCGCGCCACAACGGCGTGCACTTTTCGACATCGCAACTTCCAAAAGTGGTCCGAGGCTGGTGTGTTTTGTACATTTTGACTTGGAAATGTGCTTTGCCACAGCGGCGTGCACTTTTTCATCGTCTCAACTTCCAAAAGTTGTCCGAACCTGGCGTGCTTTGTGCATTTTGACTTCGAAATTTGCTTCGCGCCACAACGGCGTGCACTTTTTCAACATCAAAAATTCCAAAAATGGTCCGACGTTGGTGTGTTTTGTACATTTTGACTTAGAAATGTGCTTCGGGCCACAACGGCGTGCAATTTTTTATCTCTCATCTGGCCAGCTGGCTCCGCACCCGCTTTAGCGAGCCTACTTTTCGACCCTCCGGAGCCACAAATCATTGGAAAAACACAATTTTCCGCTGCTTTCCTACCTTTTCGCGCGCCTGGATCTTCTTTCTTCTGAGACTTTCTCTTTTTGATTTTCTTTCTTCTTCTCTTCTCTGACTCGTCCCATCTCTGCTGTCCATATTGCCGGAAGTTTGACTTCTTCCTTCGATCATCATTAAGTTAAAGAAAATGGGGCACACCCAGTATACCTAATTTCAGTCGCACCCATATGTGAGGGGGGTAGATACCCATGGTTTCCTCATTTTATTCCTACCAATCCAAAGACCTAACAATGATTTTTCCACCCTGTGAAGTTGGACGGGCAACGGGAACCGGGAACTTATAGTGGTAAAGTCCTTTTTGGAGGTGCCTGTATTGGTAGGAAATCAATGAAAATAGATCGTTTTTTTCATTTCTGGCTTAGAATATTGGAGGGCAAGTTATGACCACTCGAGCACGCCGAGGGCCAGCTGAAATGTCGGATGCCGCCTGAGAGCGAGTTTGACTACGAGGCACCGTTGCTTCTGCAGGGAGTGAAACCATGGCAATGTGTTGCGACGGAAAAACAACCATTCAAATTCAGCCCCGTGTCAGGATTCAGGATAATCAGGATAGGCTCCATCTTGTTCTGCGACGGTTGGCAACCAGTGTTTCGCTTTGATGTTGCAATTTCATATTATTGCCTATCATTTGTCAGTGCAAGAACACCTTTTCATATCTGCGGCGTAGATCATCCAGAACATCAGGCAACCACTTTAAGCACAACCAAACATCGTGTCCTTCAGATAGTTTGTAATCTGCAAGATATCGAGACAATCTATCCAACCATACACGCATAACTACATACATATATACATAAATACATATATACATAAATACATAAATACATATATACATATATATATATACACATACATATATACATATATACATATATACAAATATACATTTATGCACATATGCACATATCCACATATACACATATACATATATACATATACATATATACATATATACATATACACATATACACATATACATATATACATATATACATATATACATATATACATAAATACATATATACATATGTAAATGTACATATACATATATACATATATACATATATACATATATACATATATACATATATACATATATACATATATACATATATACATATATACATATATACATATATACATAGATACATAGATACATAGATACATATATGCAAATATGCACATATCCACGTATACACATATACATATATACATATATACATATATACATATATACATATATACACATATACACATATACATATATACATATACATATATACATATATACATATATACATATATACATATACACATATACACATATACATATATACATATATACATATGTACATAAATACATATATACATATGTATATATACATATATACATATATACATACATACATATATACATATATACATATATACATATATACATATATACATACATACATATGTACATATGTACATATGTACATATGTACATATATACATGTATGTGTGTATATACATAGATATATATATATATATATTTGGCAATATATTTACATGTTTACAAATCCACAGACGACAGGGGTTGCAGCAAACGCAGAAAACCTATTTTGATGTTGAGTTGCATTTGAACCTTTTTGGGAATTGCTGGGAACGGACAGAAGTAGCTTTTCCAGAACGTTCGAGATGCCTTTCACTTGAGCATTTCCAGGTTTCCAACTCTTCGATTTGTTTTGGGGAGAAATATCTAGTATAAGAACTATAATAATAATGATAATAATTCTGAATAAAATTATAACAATAATAATAATATTTCTAGTATAACAATAATATACACATTAGATATTTCTGAATCGGTGAAATCCACAGGGACCCATAATTTTGGAAGCTAAGATCCCCATGAGTTTCCTGTAACATTTTCCCTCCGAATCTAAGATTCCCCATCATTTCTTGGTGACCCAATCATCACTTTCTGTTGGTTACCCCTAAGTTTATCTAACATCAAAAAATATGGAGTGCCCTGCATGTCTTGGCATTCTTTTTCAATTAATGTCAAATTCGTGTTAGTAACCCCCCCAGAAGGTCTAGATCCATGAGAAGGTATTCACCTCCAAATAATCGGCAGCAAAAACACAAAAATGGGATTCATGAGATTTAGTATGAGAAATGATTTGAATCCGTTGATTTTCCATTGGTTTTTCCATTGGTTTTCAATTGATTTTTGAATCCAACAATTAGGCTTTTGCAGAAGGGTGTTTTTAATTGGGGGTGACCACCAATGTTGATCAATGAGGAACCAACCCAAAGTAGTATTGCCAACAATTTTTTGCTGCGTGACAGTTGATTCAATTCGGAGTTTCGTTGCGCCCACACTGCTGTTGGTTCATCTCCCACCGAATGAGTTTACTATACGCTTGTCTCAACATTTGGACACCGACAATTCCATTGTTTCGAACATCATTTCCCAGATGAATTGGCTATAAGATGCGGTATCTGACCGTATCTCCGTTCTATGACAACCCCTCCACGTAAGTTCCAGAACTCATTGCGAAGAAACCGTTGTGTTTGATGGTTGAACCAGAAAATCGACGTGTGTCAAAATAGGGTACCCCATTCCATCCCATGCTGATCAATTTGAGCACGAAACTTGCCATAAATTGGGATAACAAAATTTACAAGTTTTGACCAGTCAAAATATATCATACGGTTGGTTACACATCCTATGATATCATTCTACCCACAGAAAATGCTTGGTTTGATCCTGTGATATCCCCATTCACCCAACAGAAACTGGTGAAAAATCCTGCAAATTCGGAGTGGTTCGGAGAAAAATATGGTATCCACATTCTCTAGATATGGGTCAAAATTGAGTACCCCAAATATTGGATGGTTTATTTTGTCACTTCATAGTCAAAATAGACATTCCAATCCATCAGATCTATTAACAATCTATTAACATCGATTAACCATCTATCCATGGATGTTAATAGTCAAAAGTCAAGATAGACATTTAACATCTATTAACCGTCCAATACTACCATTTGTTAATAGATTCATCTATAGATGTTATAGATGTTCATTGAATCCGTGGTCCCCCAGGTCATAAAAAATGGGGAGTCGAGCCTCGAACGACTCGAGCGCCAGCCTGCGACCGAGGCGTTGGCTGAGCTGCGGCGACAGCTGCTGATGACCGACGTGCCCTATGCCGCTTGGACGATATGGAGAAGTGAAGTCCTACGAAAATTGAAATGATTCTACGATATTCCTGTAGTAATTCCCTATATAATATTATATAATACTAGAATGGGAATTATTTTGATTCTAGAAATAAAGGGAACAAAGGGGGAGCTGACATTGTCACGAACTCACTGGCCGACGTGAACATAATAGATGATGGGTACTGAGGGAAATCACACCATTGACCTAAGTTCAGGTTGATGTATCCAAACAAAACGGATATATGCATAAATGTATATACACATGCATGTACACACATATGTGTAATATGTTTTTTTTAATGTCTCTGTAGCTTTGCTATTTGCAGGACTATTGCATGTCAACCCCGGATCAAACAAAACCTGGGCTCTGAAATATTGCAGAACCGGATTTCAGGTTCGCGACTGATGAGTTTTGGAACAAAACCAACCTTCTTCAATCATGGGTTGACATCCATTATATTCATTTATATTCCCATATTTGCTAGTTAAATTCCATTAAAATTACCATTATACATACACGTATAATCGTATATATATATATATATGTACACATACACTACATTACATTACATTACATTACGTTACACTACATTACATTACATTACATTACATACTTACATACATACATACTTACATACTTACATGCTTACAAACAAACAAACATACATACATGCATGCATACATGCATACATGCATACATGCATGCATGCATACATGCATACATGCATACATGCATACATACATGCATACATGCATACATACATGCATACATACATGCATACATGCATGCATGCATGCATGCATGCATGCATACATACATACGTACGTACGTACATACATACATACATACATACATACATACCCATGATATTTCCATGTTGACCTTATTATTGACGATGGACACGGGGCCACATGGTCGTGACCGTCAGGAGCTGGACGGAGCCAAAGATCTCCCAGCGATGTTGGACGTGTTGGTGGAGAAGCTGCAGTTGCTTGAGGTACCCAGGGGTCGTAACCGACCAGTGATTTCATTGGGCAAATCATTGGTATTATTACCATTGGTACTATTGGTTATTAATCATTAGTGATTTTTATAACTATTGGTACCATTGGTACTACCGTACAGGATAGTTGATAGCGTTCAGTTGAGATATTTCAGTGGCTGAATTAACTATGGTTTATGATAGATATAACTACAGTTTATGGGGTTCATAATGGTTTATAAACCAACTTATAACTGGGGAGCCCCATCCTGTAGTTAATGTGGGTAGAACAGTGCCATAAACTACCCACGAGTCATCACCATTTTTATAGGTGGTATAAATTACTACAAACCATTCCCAAATGGGTGGTCTATGGCGTTGTTTTACCCACATTTACATAGATGTGGGGAAACCAATGGTTTCTTTAGGATACCTTTAGGAAAATGGTCTACTGTATACGCGATACATAGATGGATACCTACGTACATAGGTACATAGATACGTAGTTACATAGATACATAGATACATAGATACATACTTGCATACTTACACACATACTGACACACATACTTACATACATACTTACATACACATTTACATGCATCATGTTATATATACATATATATGTATATTTGTGTTTGTGCTTAAAGAACAGACCGGAATAGTCGGCGTGAAGTGCCAAGGAATCGCGGAAATGGGGCGATTCTCTTGCGTTAAAAACACGTTGGCATACACTGAAGGGCTGTGGTTGGGTTCTCTTTTAAAAAATGCTTCCGTGTCTGACGGCAACTTAGATCAATATGTATGATTCGCCCAGGAAATTTGGAGATATGATGAAATTGAACATGGGGTAGAATTTCCTCATGCCTCTATTAACACGGGTCAAGACTACGCAGGCTGCAAAAAACACGCGCATGAACATTTTGCTACCCCAAAACATGACCCGCAGGCACCTCATATGAATGATACATATGTACTGTATGTGTGTATATACAGATATAAAGGGCCTAATTCAACAGATGTAAAGGTGAATTATTCTCTACATTTTTTTCGCGGTTATTTCGTTTTTCGGTTGTTTTTTTTGTTTGTGGGTTAAAATCATAACTTCATTTGTGTGTTTCTCAAACAATCGTTATCCCAAAACCATGAATTCCCCTGTTAGACAATTCTGAAATGACTACTGTAATCTTTTTTTTTAGGTTCCCGAAGTCATTGGTCAAAGTTGTATATTTATATTGGCATTTCAATAAACTGAGAACATGACACCCAAACGAAACCCTGGTGGATCATCATCCGATTTTTTGCAGCCAGAAATGGGGTCGTTTTACATCATCCCAAAACGGGGTATACCGGTATACCCAATTTCATAAACCTCTATTGGGGATTGTTTATTATTGGGTTTACCACATTATATAACATCCTGGAAAGACCACTTTACTTTCGGAATTCTTCCCTAGAATTTGTGTGGTAAACCCAATGCCACTAAGCTCCGATTAGGAATAGGATGGTGGTACCGCGTATTTCTGGGAAGTCATTGGGGATGTTTACCACCAACCGGGTACCCGGAATGTCCAATTGTTTATCCTCCCAAGTGGGGATGTTGTGTTTACCCTCACGGGAAGGGATGACAATCCGATCTGCTGATCCTCGCCATGACGAGGATTTCGGGCGGTGCACTATGGAGCTGTACCGTCTAGGCTGGAGTGGGAGGGGAAATCGTCCTATCAGTCCTATCATTTAGGATTTGTCTATGAGGTATATATAAGTATATATGGGAATAATAATAGATGATTCCATGACATCATGGAGTCTTGTACCTGAAATCAGAAGAAATGGAATAGAAGGGATATTTTTTAAAGATTTGATTCGTTGGTGTGCAATACTCGCTTAAGGGCACGGTAAATCTATGGTAGATGTCAAGGGTCGTTGATTTTCCCACCAACCCATGCTGACATTTTGTGTTGGCGACGGTGTCGCCCGACTACTATATATGTTTAGTGGAAAATCGATCTCTCTTTGCATAACTTGAGATCTCTCCCTTTACCCTGAAACCATCCAACGACAATCATGTTTATCAACCAGGCTTTTTTGTCAAATGATAGAATCAATGGATTGGTTTAAGGGACAATTTACAGGAAACCTCAGGAACCCCCATATTTCATGGGAAAATCCATGGTTTCCTCTGGATTTCCCCTACAACCAATCCGTTGTTAGAACCCATGGCACCGCGGCACCATTCGTAATACCAATGGCTATGGGCTGCTGTGAGGCCACTTCGCTTACCGCCTTAACGATGAAGTGCTGGTGGTATCACCCCAGGCCGCCTTTTGAAAAGGGCCATAGGTGGCGCCTGTACCTGGGGGGCATGCCACTTGGTAAATGGGCTATACCCCCAGCAATATATATATACATATATATATATATGTATGGAATATCCCCACTTATGTATGGGATTATATGGATTATATGGATTATAAACCACTTGCTAAGTGGGATGCACATCCAAGTAGCAAGAACTGAAGGTGTCGGGACTAGCCTGAAGATTTTGATGTTTGGGATGGAGACTTGAAGATTTCAGTGATCTCCATTTGCTGGGTCTCCAATGAAACGTCAACCCATCCCCAAAGTCTTGGGCTCCAAACAGATCAAGTTGGCCGCGGAAAACTGACACAGCAATTTGGAGGTGGTCTCACCCTTGAAAGTGGGTTCTTCATGGGGTTTCCTGACCTTTCCTTTTATTCTGTGTTCTGTTAGTTACAGTTCTTTAAGGTTCTTTATATTTTTTGTTTTCGGAAACATGTTTGAGTGTGGTTGAACCATGAGTTTTCATGACATATAAACATTGGCTTGCTAGAAATTCCTACATATAGTTATAGATGTTTTCCTCGTTAAAACCATCCATTTAGAGTCATTTTTCCATTGAAAGCTTCATTTGATAGCTGTTCTTCCCATTTAAACCTCCGTTCGTAGACGTTTTCCATATTAAAACCATCCATCGATAGATGCTTTCCCCCATTTCAACCTCCATTTTGCCTTCGTTTTTCATGAAACATTCCATTTCGTTCGGAGATTTCCCCATTTTTTCTTTTGAACGAAGCATTTCCCGCTGTTTCACCGGTGACGTTTAACGAATGTCGCCTTTTCCAGGATACGGTGGAGTCGGTGGCCAAGCGCTTGGAGGTTCGGCAGATCTGGGGATCTGGAGGGGTAGCCTATGGTACCCTGCTGGATGGTTTATTGGAACATCCAACATTTTTAGGGGGTACATAGGCTATCCAGCTATTAGGATGATTTAGGGGGTACAGTACTCCCCTATGACTTAGGAAATTTCCAGTTTTTTTTTTGGGGAAGAGCATCAATATATGGGGATTTGATCTGCTTTAATGGGATGTTCATGATATTTATGGGATATAAAGCCCTAGAAAGATGCCAAAGAGCTACCATCCTGGTTTCACACTTTTCGGCATACATGGAAGTTTTAATGATACAGGAGGTTTTGGTACAGAGTAAGGCACCATATGCTTTGGCAATTTAGGATAGCTACGGAAAATCACCGTTTTACAAGGTAAAACATTGATGTTCAATTATCGGAGGGCACATATTTGCTATTGTTGTTAGTAGATCATCGATACTTGTATCCTCAATATCTGTATCATCCTTAATACCCGTATCATCAGCATCTTCTTCTTCTCCATCTTCATCACATAGAAAACGCATAGAAAACGCATGGAAAATGCATCATCACAACAAAAGGAAATAGTTCTGGATTTCCATTCTAACGTGCCCAGGCTCAGCAGCACCAGCTGGAAGATTGGCAACAGGCTGTCAGCGACGCCAGGAGCAAACACTACTTCCTGTGCCTCAGTTGAAATGGAAGAGTCTCTGGAGAGAACCAACAAAAATGGTTGGTTATGGCTTATGGGATATAATGCGCACATGTATATATATATACATATAATTATATACACATACATATCTATATATATAATTATATATATATACACATACACATAATGACATACACATATACGTTCTGGGTACCAATGGTTTTCCCATTGCCAGGTTAACTTAGCAAAGGGTCAAACATGTAAGGGGTACCATATTTCCAAACAAACCCAAATATCCCCATAGAAACCCTACTTTCTTATTGGATCTACTCATGACTTGGGATCCAGTCATGGCCAGTCATGGGGGTTATTTAATGTTAGGAAGGGATTACTTACTCTCTTGGATCCAACTTGGGCCTTGAAAGCATGGTGTGAAGTTCCAAGACAAATTTGATTTGAATCCATCCTAAAGGAGCCACTTTCCACTGGAAAGCCTAGCTTAGTATCGGATCTGTTTATTTTGGGGCCCCATATGGGAGTATGTAGTATCAGGATAGTATCAGGCAGATGCGATTAGTTTGAGTCCAGTTGGTTTATATTACATGGTTCTGTCGTAATTCTTGAAATCTCCAGAATCTCCAGATTGAGAATCTCATCATTCTGGTCACATTCCCAGAAATGCTTTTGTCTCAATGAGATGATTAGTTGAATGCTTATTATTATTATTTTTAAATACCTTGTCTTGTTTTGCAACCATTTTCAGCGGCTACCGCAAAAAGACACCCATTGCTCTTAACATTTGACATATCATCGCCAAATCTTGACGCTTTTGAACATTCTCACCACCATCTTGGTACATTTCCGTAACAAAAACTGGATCTGGGTCAAGTTACCCAAGAAACCCAAAGGTGGTCAGATGAGCATCTTGGCATGTTCACGATGTAGAGTGAGTTCCCTATTCGAGGAGTGACTGTTGATGATTAGTTTGGGGGTAACTACCATCAAATCCAGTTAGATAGTGGATGTTGCTGATCATTAGTGGCTGTTTTGGGTCTGATCATAATCCAGTATTCGAGGAACTACTACACCGTGCGTGAGCTCTGCTTCCTTTCCGAACTCCTTCCCCATGTCGACAAGGATGTAGTGACTGAGTGGCACGTAGAGGTCTGGAGCGGTGGGGCAGGCATTTCCTGCAGACTTGGGAGTCATATAGGGGGGTCCTTCCGGTTTCATGGCAATAAACACAACCAAATGTGATGTTTAGAGGAACTCTGAGGAACCCTGTAAAAGTCTTGCCGACCAAGCCTAAATGACGGCTTATAAAATTCTATAATATGCATCCAGAGAGATGAGACACTGGTTTCACAGTTTCTTGGTTTCCCTCAGCGTTTCTTGGTGCATTCTCTCATCGACCCCGGCGGCGAATAGATGGCTGGAAGTATCTTCAGGCGGGAACAGGTTGGGTAAGATTGGGTCATAGGAACAGGACTGGTTATGACGATCCCTACAGTTTAGAAACGGTCAGTCCTTGGCGTAGATCCCCAATCTTTTCCAGCCAGAAAGGCGGACTTGTATCCCAAGTCCCAACCATACTGTGAGGATCCACCCACTTACAAACTCCCAAATTATTCCATGTATCGAACCAGGCAGGGTAGCCTTTACTGACCAGTGATCTTGATTTTTCTCCTCCTGGCCTAGCGGCCTCCCTTACTGCTTTCGCCAAGGAATGGGGCAAAGTTTGGCCCTTGCTGCAGTGCGTTGATCTGGAGGCGGAGGAGGCCAACACCCGGCAGAGAATCCTGCTTCAACTGAAGCGATGCTTGGCGAGACGCTGGATCTTGCTGGGTGGGTGGAAACCAGCAAAAGGATAGGGGATTTAAATCAAGATTGGATCCGTCCATCTATCTAATGTATAATATAATATATATATATATAATATATGATATATAATATGTAATATACAAAAATATAATATATAATATATAATATGTAATATGTAATATATATATAATATAATATATAATATATAATATGTAATATGTAATATGTAATATGTAATATGTAATATGTCATATGTAATATAATATGTAATATGTAATATATAATATACACTATATAATATATAATATATAATATACAATATATAATATACAATATATAATATACAATATATAATATATAATATATAACATATAATATACAATATATAATATACAATATACAATAATATATATATATATATTATAATCTGATATAATATAAAATACAATCTAATATAATATAATATAAAATGATATATAATATGACATGATATATAACATAATATAATATAATATAGTATAATATAATATAATATAACATGATATATGATGTATAATATATAATATATAATTTTTTATATTATATAACATATAATCTACAATATACAATATACAATATATAATATATGATATAATATATATATATTATACAATATATAATATAATATAATATGATAAAATATAATATGATATAATATAATATAATATCATATAATATAGTTTAATACAATATAATATAATATATTATATCATATTATATCATATTATATTATATTATATTATATATATACATACACGTATATATAAAATTTATTTACATATTTGTCTTGGTGTTGTGAGCTCACAATTGCCCAATGCCGCCGTTTCTGAAATCAGACTTCGAGCAAATTGATTCAATTTCAGTATATACTGTAGACGTGCACCCCAAATAGGGTACACATTCTAGCACACATTATGTAGAGGGTGAAGTATTTCACGGAGTTGGTCGCTTTAGACATCTTCACCGGTTGTACACATCCCATGTTGCTTAGCAATTGCCAGTTTCTGGGGATGCTCGGGCAATTTGAACCACAGAATTGTGAGCCCAGGTGATTTGGCCCTCCTCAGAACGTCCAGTGGAGAGCCAGATCGAGAGGCACAACGGGGCTGTGTGTGTCGAAGGAATCAGAAAGAAATGTTGGCTGAATGCACATGCCCCCCGTGAAGTTGCCTGGCATACTTCTAGTTTCTGATGTTAGAGGAAACATTTCTGTGCCTTCGAAGTTAGATGTAGCCACAAGCATTGTGTATTTGTGGTTGAGTAGTAGTAGATTTCAGAGTTCTTTTCCCAAGGAACCGTGTAGAGAGCCCCACAGAAGGGGGGGCAGCCAGAAGAATGCCTCTGAATTCCGACCCAGAGATCTTGGCACTCAGATGGTCATCCAGTTCTCAGGATATCCATACCCACTTTGGACCAAAAAAAACAAATGAAAGATCGAAAAGTTCATCTTAAAGTACTTCCGTGTCATTTCGCCTAGGTGAAATTGCTGAATGACGTGGGACAAATGCTGGGAGACCTCTTCGAGGGAGCTGCGCCCCAAGTTCGTCCCTTACAGGCCTGACAGAAAACCCAGCTGATCGAGCCCTAAAACTTTGGGAGGATAGTGATGCTTCCTGAGCTCAGCTTCTCCTTTCATATCGTTGGTTGGGAAACCGCCGGTCATTTAGCATCAGTACTGGGCTTGGTTTGCCTGGGACTTAGTTTTTGGCTGCGGCTCCAATTTTCAGGGGAACCCTTTGATTTTGGGCTGTTTGTGTTCAAAAACAACCCAGACTTGGAGGGGCACGAAGAGCTCTTGACCAATTTCCCCTTTAACCCCGCATATCCCAGTGGTTGTTACTTATATACCCATTTTAGTAGTAGCTTGTATGCATGTCATATATATATAATATCTTTGTTGTGCAAATGATCTGTATTGGTGTATATCTGTACTCCATACTTACATCCACACACACACACACACACTTATATATATATATATACATGTACACATTATAGTATGTATGTATGTATGTTATGTTATGTTATGTTATGTAATGGTATGTAATGTATGGTAATGGTATGTAATGTATGGTAATGGTATGTAATGTATGGTAATGGTATGTAATGTAATGTAATGGTATGTAATGTAATGTAATGGTATGTAATGTAATGTAATGGTATGTAATGTAATGTAATGGTATGTAATGTAATGTAATGGTATGTAATGTAATGTAATGGTATGTAATGTAATGGTATGGTAATGGTATGGTATGGTAATGGTATGGTATGGTAATGGTATGGTATGGTAATGGTATGGTATGGTAATGGTATGGTAATGTAATGGTAATGGTATGGTAATGTAATGGTAATGGTATGGTAATGGTATGGTAATGGTATGGTAATGGTATGGTAATGGTATGGTAATGTAATGTAATGGTATGGTAATGTAATGTAATGGTATGGTAATGTAATGTAATGGTATGGTAATGTAATGTAATGGTATGGTAATGTAATGGTATGGTATGGTAATGTAATGTAATGGTATGGTATGGTAATGTAATGTAATGGTATGGTATGGTAATGTAATGTAATGGTATGGTATGGTAATGTAATGTAATGGTATGGTATGGTAATGTAATGTAATGGTATGGTATGGTAATGTAATGTAATGGTATGGTATGGTAATGTAATGTAATGGTATGGTATGGTAATGTAATGTAATGGTATGGTATGGTAATGTAATGGTATGGTATGGTAATGTAATGTAATGGTATGGTATGGTAATGTAATGTAATGGTATGGTATGGTAATGTAATGGTATGGTATGGTAATGTAATGTAATGGTATGGTATGGTAATGTAATGGTATGGTATGGTAATGTAATGTAATGGTATGGTATGGTAATGTAATGGTATGGTATGGTAATGTAATGGTATGGTATGGTAATGTAATGGTATGGTATGGTAATGTAATGGTATGGTATGGTAATGTAATGGTATGGTATGGTAATGTAATGGTATGGTATGGTAATGTAATGGTATGGTATGGTAATGTAATGGTATGGTATGGTAATGTAATGTAATGGTATGGTATGGTAATGTAATGGTATGGTATGGTAATGTAATGTAATGGTATGGTAATGTAATGTAATGGTATGGTAATGTAATGTAATGGTATGGTAATGTAATGTAATGGTATGGTAATGTAATGTAATGGTATGGTAATGTAATGTAGTGGTATGGTAATGTAATGTAATGGTATGGTAATGTAATGTAATGGTATGGTAATGTAATGTAATGGTATGGTATGGTAATGTAATGTAATGGTATGGTAATGTAATGTAATGGTATGGTAATGTAATGTAATGGTATGGTAAGTAATGTATGGGTATGGTTAATTGTAATGTATGGATGGTTGGCTGGTAATGTAATGTATGGTATGGTAATGTAATGTATGGTATGGTAATGTAATGTATGGTGTGGTAATGTAATGTATGGTGTGGTAATGTAATGTATGGTGTGGTAATGTAATGTATGGTGTGGTAATGTAATGTATGGTGTGGTAATGTAATGTATGGTATGGTAATGTAATGTATGGTATGGTAATGTAATGTATGGTATGGTAATGTAATGTATGGTATGGTAATGTAATGTATGGTGTGGTAATGTAATGTATGGTGTGGTAATGTAATGTATGGTGTGGTAATGTAATGTATGGTGTGGTAATGTAATGTATGGTGTGGTAATGTAATGTATGGTATGGTAATGTAATGTAATGTAATGTAATGTAATGTATGTAATGTAATGTAATGGATGTAATGTAATGTAATGGTATGTAATGTAATGTAATGGTATGTAATGTAATGTAATGGTATGTAATGTAATGTAATGGTATGTAATGTAATGTAATGGTATGTAATGTAATGTAATGGTATGTAATGTAATGTAATGGTATGTAATGTAATGTAATGGTATGGTATGTAATGTAATGGTATGGTATGTAATGTAATGTAATGGTATGTAATGTAATGTAATGGTATGTAATGTAATGTAATGGTATGTAATGTAATGTAGTGGTATGTAATGTAATGTAGTGGTATGTAATGTAATGTAATAGTATGTAATGTAATGGTATGTAATGTAATGTAATGGTATGTAATGTAATGTAATGGTATGTAATGTAA